ATCACCTGAAATAACAATAATAAAAAAAATCTGAACAAATGTAGGTTGTATGTGCATGTAAAATATGTAAGTCAGATCCTCAGCTGCTGTAAATCAGTGTAGCTTGATTGTCTTCATATACTAGTAGCTTGTTAATTGGACCAGATTCCAGTTCCAAAAATCAAGATGAGTTTTGCCATTGACTTCAACAGAGCTATGCCAATTTACACCAGCTTGGGATTTGGATATATATATATTCTGGGCCCATAAAATCCTGAGGCTAGTTCTCTACTATAAGAATTTGGAATGCACATTTAATTGGGAGATAACAAGAGAAAGCAAATTGCAGTAGTAGTAGAGCTAATTTTTAGTGAATATATTTTGTACTTAATTTTAGTAATATAAAAACACTCTTCCTATTGAATATGTGGTACATATGCGTAGCAAACAGAACATTTTAAAAAATCATTTATATTACTGCTTAGATGCCTCCGTTGATTATTGGAGCATCATTCTGCTGGACATTGTACAAACACACAGAAAATGACAGTCCCTGTCCCAAAGAAGCAAACTAAATAGACAAGATGGACAAAGGAAGAATTATCCCCATTTATAGAAGAGAGAAGATGGAGGACGGCTGCAATATAAATATTAAATAATAATAGTAATGAGTCATGAGGCCAACTTTTAAAGAGCCTCCAAAATGTGTTCTGAATTCTCATTGGCAGACCTGTCTGTGTATTCAAAACCTCACATTTGTCTGCACAAAACTGGTTGATATTTGTAATGACAAATCTATTGCCTGGAAAGCAATGGTTTTACCTTATATATGGAATTAATACAAATATCTGGGACAACTTTAACATTGATTTCAATAGGATCTGGATTTGACTCCAATATACATTAATAAGGCAAAAGACCCAGGTACAAAGTACAATTCACAACCTTTGTGGCAGGAGGATCTACGGAACCTACACCTGACAATCTAATGCATTTGCCTTTTCTTTCAGAGAGAAAAATGCAGCTACTCTAACCTGCAGTTTGTGAGGCAGCACCACGCACAAGTGCTTTACAGGAATAAATTCCCATCTCGCCAGTTGTGGTCTGCTATTTTGCCAGCATTCTGGGGTGGGAGGGGCTTTAATCCTCTAAAAGCGCTGTAATATAGGAAGGTCATTTATCTTAAAAACTTGCTGGAGATCATCTGTAATATAACCCATCTATTCTCATCACTGCCTTCCATAATGACAGAGCTAAACAAAGGAGGAAGAGAAAAAGAATACATATCGCTACATAAATAAACTATCTGTTCTGATGGAAGTAGCTCCATTGACTGGATAACTGTATGATCGCACCTTAAGACTGATCACCTAGGCCCACATCCTCAAAGGTATTTAGGCACCTAATTTCCATTGAAGTCAAATGGCAATTAAGTACCTAAATACCTTTGCAGCTCTGGGCCCTAGAGCCTACACCTAAGTCATTTAAAAACTGTCATTCTGATGCATCTTTACCAGCAGGTTTCAACTTGTCAGAACCCCCACTGTTTTCTACTCCTGTTTTACACTAAAACTATATGCTAATGTTCGATCCTGCTTTTCAGCTGGTTTAAGGATCAGAAGAACTTGCTGTTTGTAAACACTTTGCATTTATTTTAAACTTCAAAGTAAAAGTTCTTCTTCTGATGTTAAAACCTTCAAAAATACCACAAAAATAAATTCCCAGGTAAGATCAAATCTTGTTTATGATCTCTGGCTTCTGCTGGTGCCATAAACAATGTCAAATTCACAATAATATGGCAGCCAGTAGGAGATTCAGAAATGCCACTTTTAATTAAAACCTCTATTTTCAGGTACTGTTGACAGTTAGTGAGGGCTTCTCTCCAGGTGATCTCCCAGGATATTGCTCTGAACAAAGTGAGGGCAGCTTTTCAAGGAAACAAAACCAAAAATTGTTGCTAGAGTTGTCTGTATTTTAGCAATTTTCCAAAAAGGAGTTACCCAGGGGATCATATGCCTCGAAAATTGCATACAGCAAGGGCCATTGAAGATCCTTCTCTGGCCTACACCACATGCTACACGTTGACATTTATTTAACGTATGACAGAATGCACAGCTTTCATAGCAAGGAACCCCCTCTCCTGGGAAAACTGTAAAGAATCTCACTACAGAGGATTTATATTTACATTGGACAATTTATCTGAGAGCAAAGCCATTCTATCCACTTAGCTGTACTTGTTCATTTCCTGTAATGATAACAGGCAACCCAACAAGTCTTATTAGGAAAAGAAAAAGAGGTATCGTTTATAATCCCAAGGACTCCTGCTCCCCTTGCTTCACTGTAATGGGGACTGCAATGCAGTAGAGGGTGGCATAATAGTTTATCTGGGCTAGAGTATTTGGAAATTAGACTTTTAAACTGATTACTGCAGAAAGACAGAGTCCTGATCTTCTAAAAGGCTTATACTGTATAACTCACACTTTGACAGGGAACATGATCTCAAAGCCTGTAGATCTTTACAGTTAGCTAACCCTGAATGAACCTATTGTTAAACTTGCTTTAGTGCACAGAAACCATAAGATCGATGCCTAGTAGCGAGAGATGTCATTAAATCAATAGCACATGTAGCTCATTATTCTGATGTCTGACAAGAACTGCTAGTGGCCAGTTAACAAGGTCTACTGACATGGAGACATAGCACACCAGGAGTTTGTCCACTACAGAAACATTCTTTGGAGAGGGGTGAGGGAGAGAGATAAAAATCTGCTAATTCTAGAGAAGCAGAAAGACTTATGATTGTAATGTTTGATTTATCTTCTGGTTGGGCTGTGACAGTAGATCATTTGCTTGATAAGGGATGCTCCACTCCTTTTTGGTTAATGGTAAAGAACTTGTCAGTCAGTAAGCTGTGTATGTATTTATATATAACGAAACAACAAAAGAGAGATGATATGTAATGCTCTAGCTTTTTATGCTAGGCTAAGATAGCCATGAGAAAGGCAGGTTTAATTATTTAAGAGGCTTTTCTCATGAATTCAAAAAGAAGACCGGTAAGAGCACTTAGCACCATATTACCACAAAGGTAAAGTATAAAGTTCTGAGTAAGAGGACAGAGTCAGGATTCCTGGTTTCTATTCCCAAACCACCACTGATCCACTGTGTGGCTGTGGCCCAGTTACTGCTCCATGCCTCAATTTCTCCATTTGTAAAATGGGAATAACAACATTTCCCTACTTTACAGGGATGTTTAGATGCTTGGTTAATTAATGCTATAAAATTCATAGATTTTAAAGGCCAGAAAGGACTGTAACGATCACATAATCTGACCGCCTGCATAAACACAGGTGAGAACATCAGTGACTTCTGGCTAAACTAGTGAATCTCTCTTAGAATGACATCCAATTTTGATTTAAAGACTTGATGGATATGACTTCAAGAAATGTGTTGACTGAGATTCTTGGATGAAAAGTGAGAGAAAGGTGTGACCTACTGTTATTTGTAATAATTAGTAATACTCCTCCAGCAAAATTATAGTGGTTATAACAAAGCAAGGAACAGAAAAGAAGGTTGGTCTCATAAAGTAAAAGGGAATGAAGGATTTGAGTGTTCTGAAGGAAAGGAACAAGCCGTTAGAGGTTATAGAAAGTTGTAGTGATCCCTTGCAGCATATATTTACTGCCTCACCTGTGTTTCCAAGGTGATCACAGAAATGTCTATCCAGCAGAGATTCCTCAGGGTGAGCACTGCCTACCTGGTTTTGAATGCTTCATATGGCTCCTTTTGAAGATAACAGAAGTTTTACCATTGACTTCAATGGAGGCGATCGAGATAAGGTCCACAGTATGATCTTGACTCGGTGTTGTGAGCAGATGCTGAACCTATTCTTATGGATTAATTTTGTCTGCCTAGCTTCAGATGTCATCAATCTCCACTGTGCACAGGAGCTCATTATACTTAACAGAGATCTACAGGATCTCTGGTTTATTTGTGATGAGAAATAATGAAAGTCTTTTGGTCAGGAGATATATAAATCTTCAAGTTTGTGAGAGACAAGGTAAGTGTGGTAATATCTTTTATTGGACCAGCTTCAGTTGGTGAAAGAGACAAAGTGTTGGAGCTTACACAGAGCTCAGGTCTGAGCAGTCTATACAGATCACTACCTAGTTCCCCCCTTCAATGCTCTCTGTACTCTGCAGTCAGGCAATGCACTTAATACAATGCTAAAAATCAGGTAAGGTTTTAATCTCAAAAAATAATTTTTAAAAAACTAAGATGATTGAAAATGGGGAATTCTGAATCAACAAGCAGGAATCAAAGAAAATTTCCCATTTTGAGTTTTAACGTATTTTCCCCCTGCTCTACTTTTTACCATAAGTTTTCATTTTAGATGTTGGCATTTGGTAGTAAATCACACTGATAAACCCTTGCCAGATAGTAATGATTTTGTTTTTCCAGGAGATGCTCTTATTTAATTTTTTAAAATCCCTTATTTTTCTCTGATCCCTTTTTACACTCAGAACTCCATTCTTTTCTTGTTACATGGCTAACTTTCATGTGTTTTATGACTACATCTTGAACATTTCATCCAACATGGCATTCTATATTGCATTTCCAACAGTAGCTGCCACTAACGTTACAATTGGTTCAACTCAACACTTTACCACCACCACTCAGCTTCATTTCTGGACTATTCAACAAAGACATTTTTGGAATAATTAACCCAGCTTTTATCCTCCATAGGTGATGACAGGAACCAGTTTCAAGAGAGAGGATAGCAGCCTGGTTGCCATCTTGTAGTGGTCAAGTGTTTTTAATATGTAGGTAATGAACAAGACTTTATGCACAGAACAATATATTAGTAAACATGTTATTACAGAGGTGTTCATAGTGGCCATAAAAGTTAATTTGCTACGTACATTTTCATCTATTAGCTGCCCAGCTGGTTCAACAGGTTTTATAGCATCATCATTATCTGATCAAACTGTTGCATAAACTCCAGTTCATTTGAATTCAATTCTGTTAAAATACACACAATTTATATGCAATAGAATCTCAGAGTTATGAACACCAGAGTTATAAACTGACCAGTCAACCACACATCTCCATTGGAACTGGAAGTACACGTACAAGTACAGAGAGCAGCAGAGACAAAAAAAAAAAAAAAAGCAAATACAATACAGTGCTTTGTTAAACATAAACTACTAAAAAAAATAAAGGGAAAGCAGTATTTTTCTTCTGCATAGTAAAGTTTCAAAGCTGCATTAAGTCAATGTTCTGCTGTAAATTTTTGAAAGAACAACCATAACGTTTTGTTCAGAGTTATGAACATTTCAGAGTTACAAATAACCTCCATTCCTGAGGTGTTCAGAAGTCTGAGGTTCTATTGTACTGCTGAAAAATAGACTTGATTACAGTCTTTTACCTACTTCTCATAATATAATCTGAAATATCTATTTGTCTTCTAAAATGTTACCAGACAGGACCAGTGTGAAATGGATCTCTGGTGGTCAATTATTTCTTTGCTTTGATTGGTCCACAATATTCAAACTTAAACCCCAACTGCATGGGCACGATCAAGGCTCAAGAACTTAATCCAACTCCCATTGTACTCAATGGTAAAACTTCCACTGACTTCAGTGGGTGCTGGATAAGGATCCTGACTCTTTACACATTTATGTTCCTTCTTTATGTGCTGGTGGCTTTCATAGTTTCCTTTTTAATGTTCTTGACTTTGGTTTTCTCTGGCAAAACCCTCAAGAGTTTGAAAGCAGGTGGGAGAGTCTGGCCCAAGAATGGGGGCATGGTCACTTCATGGACCATAATCACATACTGGCCTGGAAAAGATAAGGGAAAGTTGGGAATTAAAAATATTAAATGAAGAAGAAGCAGAAAAAAAAGCATAGGGAACAATGATAGAATTGTCCTTGTATCTACATTCCTCCATCATCACATTAATTCTCACATATGGAAAGTAGTGTACAGTGTCCATGAAAAATAGAAAGCAAAAATGAGTATTTTTGATTGTTTTCTATTCTTGTTAAAGCATAAATACATAAAAAAGATTTCATCATTTACTGGAAAGTATGACAATCTGTGCTGACATATCACACTACAGTAGATTAGCATATACAATAATCTCCCCAAACAATACACAGTTAAAATAGCAAAAAACCACCACCATCACCACAAAAAATGTAATTTAGATGATGATTTATGATCATATATAATTTATAATAATACTTTATATTTTTATAGGCTCTCAAAGAGTGTAACAGACTGTGTTTCTTGTCCTGCAAGCACTTGTGCACATGCTGCCTTTATGCACATGAATAGTGTCATTGGTTTCAATAGGACTACTCCTAGAATCATAGAATATCAGGGTTGGAAGGGACCTCAGGAGGTCATCTAGTCCAACCCCCTGCTCAAAGCAGGAGCAATCCCCAATTTTTGTCCCAGATCCCTAAATGGCCCCCTCAAGGATTGAACTCACAACCCTGGGTTTAGCAGGCCAGTGTTCAAACCACTGAGCTATCCCTCCCCCTTTATTCACATGTGTAAAGTTAAGCACATGTGTAAACCTGGAATAGGACCTAAATACATCTAGCCCCCCTGAAAAGCAGCCACCTCTGGGCAAGAGTGTGCCAGAAACATGGAGAACCTACCCACAGCACAAAGCGAAATAGGAGAGGAAAAGGGGAAATTTTGACCCAGGACACAGGGGCAGACCCTGCCTCTTATGAAAAGCTCCTTAGGATCTCTAATTTCTACAAAGAGTGAACAAGACCTATGGCTGAAGGTTTCCTAAAAGAGACTAACACAAAGTAACTGCATGGAAGTCAATTTATCCACCTCCGAAGAATGAAAGGTTGAGTTGACCCTACAATCAACAAGTATGATGTCTTTTGTGAACTATGAAAAGCAGTACCTGGAAATCCATGAAAATCAAATTAGATGTTATGTACTGAAAATAATTTAAAACGAGTATTGCTTTCTACAGACTGTCGGACTATAATGGTGACACATTTGGGATACAAATGTTTGTCAGCTACTATATATGTTGCTTGGCAGCTGGGAAGGAAAGGGACTCTCTATATACAGATTAATCAGGGTATGACCTTACAGTCCTTTCACATGCAAATCTCCCACTGACTTCAATGGAGATCCACACATGGAGCAAAAGAATACAGAATTTTCAGGGCCAATTATAAGCAGCAACTTCTGTGATGTGGACACTTGTCTTCTGGTAACTGGATTATGGCCACCAAACTCATTTCACACAGGCCACTACCAACTTGGGTTGGATTCCAAGTGACAATTTATAGGTGGCAGGTTCTATATCCCGTTACTAAGCCTCTGGGCCATGATGTTGTGGTAAGTGAAGATTTTTAAAGCACTGTATTTGCAGAAGCAAAAACACCCAGGATATTTAGATTACAGCCTAAAGAATGTCATATTCTGACTGACACTAAAGGCCCTCTTCTCTTTTCCCATCTGCAATGTGTATCTTCACTTCTAGAAGCACTAGAGAGCAGGATCCAAGTAAAATGTCTTTGTCCTGTGTCTTGTTGAAAATATCTGCTAGCTGGTCTATTTCTGCTCTGTTACACTCCTATGCCCAACTAAAGGTTTGATTTTAAACATTTCTGTGCTACTTATAGTATGTGCCTGGAATTAGACTAACAAAGCTGGCAGTTTTTGCTAGTGGTGGCCATGTGTTCCAATGAGGTAGACAGCGGTGCAGACTGATTGTCTAGCTTTTTAACTTTAAATGAAGTATTTTGGAACTGTAAAAAAAAAAAGATTAAGTCTTATACTGAATCATTTCTCTAAAACATTAAGAAGGGGATCCATGACTCCTTGGGTCCTTAATAAGTCCAACAATTATTTTTGGATATTGTAATCTAATATGGCATAGAGTCACTTAGTTAAAAATGAATTTATTAACCTAGTTGCCATGAAGTTTGCCTATAACTAGGAGTATCTGGAGGTGTTGGTACTGCTATTCTTCTCATTTTCTTTACTTCAAGTCCAAAATGTAGACTAACAACACTAGAGGGCCTAGAATGAACTGTTAATAGCTCAGCTTTCTCCACCTCATCCTGCTGTCTCTACAACTACTAGATTCTCAGACACAAAAGTCTCACGAGGCTGTACAAGCCACTAAGGACTGTCAGTGTTTGCATGTTACAGTAACAGAATTAACCAGGATTAGTCAATATAATTTAAAATGCATTAAAGGAGGTTTGCCTTTGCTGATACTTTACTGTACAAAAAATACACTTTTAAAATGAAATCATGGAAGTGTGCAAGAAGTATATTGATGATAGGAGAAAGGAAGAAGAAATATGATTAACAGAGTTTAGAACATAATAATATAGAAGACCTGCAGTTATAATTTCAATAATCTGTTAATATTTTAAAATACTATTCTGTACTAACATTTGGGCTGAGTTTGGTGATTTCTAGAGCTCACTGAAAGTGAAGGCTTGGCACACGTCTTTGCAGAGATTCTGACCCAAGCTTTCACCTTTCACCCTGCCTATGGCAGCTCCCTTCTCCTTGGCTTCACCTTGGAGACTCCAGCATTTGCAAAACATTGGTGCCCACTTTCTCAAATGTATCAATAAGTCTGATCCATATCACCTTCATCCTCAAACTACTCCCCTGGTTCGTCATTCATTTTAGGATCCAGTTCAATACTGCCTTTCTTTTCAGCATTCTCCATAGATTTTGCTCCAACCTGCCTTAAAGACTCCACCTCTTTCTCTTCTGCCTCCCCGCTCCAGCGGCTCATCTAGCACAACCCTCCTCTTTGACTGTTAAGACAACCACCCTTCCTTTACTGAGACAGCCTATAATTCTGGAGCTCTAGCCGTCTAGAACAACCTTCCCACATAATGCTGTCTTACAGACACAATGGGCCTGATTCTCATTTACACAGTGGAATGCAAAGAGGCCTTAAAGTGGGTCAAAATGTAATGCCACAGCAGTTTTAAGGGGCCTCAGTGTAAATAAGAATCAGGTCCAATCTGTTTTCAAATCTTAACTGAAAACTTCTCTCTTGTCCCTTGCCTATATCTCTGAATTTCTCTTCCCTTCTGCTAGTACTTAACTTTGCCTTATTAAACTTTTTTTACACATTTTGGGAGAGACTTTGCATGAAAAACACCATACAAAATGAAGTGCTGTGCTGTATAATTGGGATTAATAATAGTAATAAAATCGGTGTATGCTTTTAAAGCAGTCACCAAGGTGCTATGTAAACAGAGGGTAACTGCATCTGCCATTTAAGCAGTTACGTTTTGGCTTAGATAAGAAACACCACAAATAAAAGACTTTCAGGAAAGAAAGTTATTTGCCCCTTTTATTGCGTGCAAAATGCCTGGAGAGTTTCAAAGCAACAGGAACCATTATAAAAGTGAGTGGGAAATAAAATAAAAACGTTTTGTTGCCTTAGAAACAGTCCTATTCTTCTTACTTTTCCTTTGTGACATATTAGCCTTCTGTATGTTTTGGCACCAGAAAACATATTAAAACAAGATGGGAAGGGGGGAGGTGTTAGTTCTTTTTGCAGAGACTGGGAATTTCTCTTCATATTGAAACTTATATCTGTAGGAATGGGCTACACTGTAAAAAAGGAGCAAGAAAACAGAACTAAGCTTCTTAAATGTTCAATTTAATTCTGTGTAGAGCAATTAATCCTGAAAATTTCCTACCATGGGAGAGTGTAAAGACTCCAGGGCTGTTTTCTGGCTGCCGATGCAAGGGGCTCCCATTGATATCAATGGAAGTGGTGTGCTTGGTGCATATCAAAAGCCAGAATATGACTCCAAATGTATTCTTGCAAAACAGAACAAAGCCCATTGGGACTGCGGACAATGAATTTCTCTCTGCCCAGCCGAATATTTCTCTGGGATATGAGAACTGTAAAATAAGTTTAAACTGTTTTTTGGACCAGTAAGTAGACAAAACTTTATCTGTATAACAGATCCATATATAGATTGTGTACACAAGGTAGTAGCATAATGCAATTTATTTAAACTGGTGAGAAAATGTCCAGGCACTTGCAAGAAATGGAATTTTGACTGAGATTAGATAATTGATTTTATAAATACATGTTAATTTATTATTACATTGCTCACAATGCAGTTTATGTAGTGTTCTATTTAAACCACACAAGGATTAAAATTGCTTGGTGCTTTATTAAACTGAATGTATTAACAGGAGGGCATAGGCAACAGACATAGCATGGAAAGAAAACTGCAATGATAATGATTTTATATAGATAGTGACTTATGAAGTGAGCTGTAAGCTCACGAAAGCTCATGCTCAAATAAATTGGTTAGTCTCTAAGGTGCCACAAGTACTCCTTTCCTTTTACAGTAAAGGCTCTCAAAGCACTTTAGAAACTCTATGAAGGCCATAGGAATCACAGCTGATATAAAGCCACTTCTGGTATGAAGTACAGAACCGCACAATAATTTAGGGCTGGAAGTGAAGAACACTGCATGAAATTGAAATTACAGGGGGAATTTAGGTGGCAGGATGTTATTACTGAAGCTGGAATGTGGCCAGGACACCTGGGTTAACACCCTACTCTTGGAAGAAGTGCTGTGAGACTCTTACTAATCTATACTAAAGATAAGCAACATTTAAAAACAAAAATGGGCCATTCAGCACCTGAGCTCCAGTTTTAATTGTCCCTTTTAGTACGGCCTCGAAGTGTGGAAAGAAATATGTAGTCACAACACAAAAAGCTGGGAAAGATAGCTTTTCAACCCAATCCCCTGAGAGAAGTATAAAGTACAGCACAGCACCAATTAGCAACGTAACG